CCCCAAAACCCCAAAACCCCAAAACCCCACTGTGCCATTTTATAGGAAACTAAATTAATATTTAAAGAAATAACCTATCATAATTATTAAATTTATTGCTATTATTAGTCAAGATCTCTATAGCCGGTAGAAATCTTATAGCAAGTTCTTTTTACAAAGTCAATCTTATAAACACCATGCCTACCTAAGGTGATGAAATTATCCTCTGACAACTATATTTTTTGGGCATTATAAAAGAATCTATCTTCTTTGGGGATAGTCATTTTAATCTTTTAAAAGGTCCTACTATCTGCATTAAAATCATAGCATTAATCAGCGTCATTATATTTAAGCCCTCCTCCAAATATCAGAATACTACCATCTAATTTGTCACTTAAGTAGCTGCCACTCCAAAATGGATGAACAAATTACTCACCTTCTTTTAGTTCCATTTTTGACCATTTTTATTCAAAGAAAAGCTCGATAGACGAGTTTGAAATAGGATAACCTCCAAAAGCATATAAAAAGTTTGTATTTACAACAATTAGGGATAAGGAAGACTTTGCTTAGTTCATACTTGGTAATTAACTCCACATATTTTGTTTGATGTCGTAAATCTCACATTCTGCAATTTCCTTTTTCTCAGAATCAATACCACCAACAACATATATTTCATTATGAAGACGATCGACTCCAACTCCAAACATGGCCCTTGCTTATCTCATATTGAATTTGGGTCTAGCAGTTAACAGATTTATGAAGACTTCAAATGTATCCTTGCATGGCTCTTAAACTTTTTCTACTATTTACTACTTACCTTCCTCTCTAACTTTTTGTTGCTATTTGATACCACCAATTCCAATTATTCTGGTATTTACTGAGACTTAATCCTTAATACCTCCATTTAGTACAACAATTTATGGTAAAATTGGAAATTAAAAATCCCCAGTTAATTTTAATGTTGACCAATCTAGGCTTTTTTCCTCAAATATGTGAAATTCTTGAGATCCTCCAGATGTGTAAAATAATAACCTGGATTTGGAAGTTTTGGATAGTCTTTATACTTCATTTTTCAATGATGTAACACAGTCATGTTCATTTCTCTCAGCTATTCTCATTTGAATCTAACATTTCTGACAAGTTTCTATTTCATAAGGGCAGTTTTGTTCATGGATAGAGAGCTTATCATAGTATATCTTATCTTAGCACCCCATTGCAGCAAATTTGCATTCAAATTTGAACTTGAAAAGCATATTTTTTATTGTTCTGTGAATTTTTTAGAAAGTAGGTCTCTCACATCTAAACGGACAGTTTCTATTCATTCTTTGCCACTATTCTATACAGGGTTTACAAAATGGTCTGTTGCATAATGAGCATTCCAAGGCTGGATCTCTAACGATTCCCAAGCAAATAAGGCATTGAACAGCTTCAATAAATTCTTTCAACTCTTCCTAATTCTAAACTCTATCTACATCAAGTACTTCTTGAACATAATCCTAATTTTCAGGTAAAATTTACTAAGCAATAGCTGCTCCAAATCTTATAAATCTATTGTTTTAATCCATTTAAATTCTTTATAATTTGTTATGGAATTTTTTAAATGGGGTTTTGGGGTTTTGGGG